ACTTTTGGCATGATGTCTAAGGACAGTAGTTAGTTGACCGAGAGGTAGCAGTGAACAACACACTCGGTGGCGGCAGGACACAGACTGAGATGTAAACAAACCACAAGCGCCAAGCGGTGCATTTGGCATGGAATTTAACAGAATCACACTCAATTTTTGCTAAATTGAGCAAAAATAATGGAAAGTTCGATTTAGCGGAAAGGAGTGGCTAGAATTAGTTTGTTAAATCGAGAAAATACTGTACCATTTAATAGCTTGTAAAGGGATGTCATGAGTCTACATTTACTATGGAGGATAAATTATGAATCAGAAATAATCATGGCACAGAGAAAACACAAATCTATGAATGAGGAAAACCTTATGATAGCAGAAAATTAATTAAAGAAAGAGAGGTAGATTAGAGGGAGAATACAACAATATATTGTATAAGAGAAAACAAATTCTGGTGGAATGTGAAGAGAAATAATGGGTCAAACAGAAATAGGAACACCATATTAATGTACGGTACACTCTACCTTTTACAGTACCATATAACAGTATAACTCATGCTAATATGGCAGTACAATATGATTACTGTACAGGTATTGTGTAGTGGGAAACATTTTATAGTCAGCTTACTTTCATGGGCTTCCTACTAACTATTATTATAATTATTTAATCAAAATTAACTATTGATTTACATATTTAGCTTGAACTATTTTAGCCAGGAAAACTGATAAGCAAACACTAATAGCATACTGGAAATTGCAATTACTGAAAGTTACAGATTAACATTAATTACGAGGCATATTTTTCATGGCCTTTGTGCAGGGTGCAGTGTAATGAATATCCAGTATAGTCGAGTACTGTACTTTTGAAGCACTTGATGTAGTTTCTTTAACAATCAAAATGTACTTACAGTACTGTATAACCAAGTATCATGTGGGATAGACTTGGTGATTTCTCTCCTTTCTTTGAGGAAACATAACAATGTTACAATTACAGTACCCCATCTGAACCTTCAATTTCACATTACTGTATTAAACAATTGTAACAGTAACACAGGAATAGATTTCATGTCATAATTTTCCTAAGATACTTACATGTATATTGAATGACCACTGCAATCTCCCACATTACTACAAATTATAACACAGGTCTGCCATATTCCTCAATAAGCTTTCATCTAAATTCTCTCAATGTTATCAAGGTCATCCCATCAACAACAAGGGACACCTTTTAACGCCTGATACAAATTATCAGAATGGTTCTGTTGATATGTGAGAAAAGTGCTCAAGAGATATGTGGTCTTAATTTTGGACACTTTAATAAGAATATAAAGTTGTCTGCAATGAATTTATCAGTTTTTCATTAATATGAGGTTATCATAATCCAACAGCTGTTCCTGTATATTAAAACAGGAACAGAGTACAGCTGATGAAGAGATAATTAAATACACACACACAGAAGCCTTAACTTCCATATAAATAAATTCAGATGAAATATTAAAATAAGATAATTCATCCCCTTTGAGCATCACCAACAAATTTTAAGACAAACTCACCTGAAGCCACAAATAAATTCTATATTGAGCACAAGAGTTTTCTTACAAAAAGAGTTTAATTTAATCTAGAAGAAGATCAACACATTAAAAATCTTTCAACCCAGGACAAGTTAATGCTGGAGGGTTATGAGACACATTACAGAACAATAACTATGATGTGACCCTTAGTTTGAATTTGTGCTTATCACTTTACACTCCAAGATACATTAAGAACACAACACATCAGGAAGACAACAGTTGGGAAAGATATAAGAATATTCAATTAATGACAGTATTCCAAAATTCTCACTAAATTACCTATTGCATACAGCAAGTTTACAAATTTGGGTAAACACTGCTGAACCATGACTGCATAATGTACAAGGATACATTAACTACAGCACAATGCAATTACATAAATTTCTCCTAAACATCAACACAGTACAGTGGTCCCTCGGTTAACGAATGGTTAACGAATTACCTTCCATAAGAATCTTCAATTCGGTTAACGAACAAAAATTCGATTAATGAAAATCATGTTTTGTTGTGAGCATCAGCTGATGGGCTATTCTGCCAATTCAGTAATCTGTTCTGTTTACATTCGTTTCCAATGGAGTAAATATCAATAAGTTGTGCTATTTAATATTTTTGCATGTTTTATATTAAAATTTTTAGTCATTTTAACATTTATTTAACATATTGATAATATATGCAGTACAGGGAACTAGATACAAACATATGTTTACATTCGTTTCCAGTGGAGTAAATATCAAGAAAGTTATGCTCTTTAATATTTTTGCATTTTCCATGTTAAAATTATTAGTCATTTTAACATTAATTTAACATATTGATAATATATACGCAGTACAGGGAACTAGTTTGTTGTGCGCCCATCAGATGCGCGAGTCGGTTACAAGGCGTCAGTTGAGACTTTGATAACAGTGAAGAGGGCATCTATTTTGTTGGTGTCTTGAATATTTTTGCATTTTTATTAAAATTATTAGTAATTCTGAACTTTAGTTAACATATTGATAATATATAGCGCAGTGCAGTGTTGATTTAAAGAAAATAATCTTGAATTACACATAGTGAACTTAAAATTTTATTGGTGAAATGACTGCATCAAGCATGGTTCCCTGAAAGGTGATTTCTCCTCCACCCCCAATGCCTTCTCTTCTCCCTTCTCCTCCACCCCCATTCTAATTCCCATCATCATCATCAACCAGGAGCCTTCTACATACACACCTCAAAGTAAGTGTACTTCACTGCATTATTTTTTTTTTTACTTTGTATGTACTTTTCGGTGAGCTGGAACCAATTACCCAATATCCAATTGAAACAATGGATTCGTTTAACGAAATTTTTGGTTAACGAACGACCTTCTGGAACGAATTGTGTTCGTTAACTGAGGGACCACTTACTGGACACTTAAAAAAGACATACACTTGACATTTGGCTGAAAGACAATGAGAATGTCTTTTTAAGACGTGGTTAACAATCTCTATTATCATCATATAGAATATTAACCAAAATTTGTGCTCAAACACCGAGATAAATGAAAGATGATTAATAATAAAACCAGCCATACTTGTACATCATACACATCTTCAGTCTGTGGACCTTAACTCATCAGATCAAACATACTGTATACACAAGTATCAACACCTACACAATAATCCAATATTGCAAAGAAGATTCTGGCTAGCAATATTTTGGGTAATTGAATGTATGGATTACCTGATAACACATCAGGCCAATATTTATGGTCATAAATTATTCCATTTTTCACTTAATTAACTCATCACTCAGGGTCTTGTGGAATCAAGTCCTGAAATTCTCTGGTTAAAACAACATATAAATTATCTACTGTATACTGGAGTAGATGTCAACTGATTATATGACTACAGGACTGTAGAGGATAGAATACAGAAAATAATTGTTTATCTTCACAGTCCTACTCCCAAATTTTGTTCTATCTGCAGGACCATTAGGTATTGTACCAGTTACCAGTCAGGGAAAAACTAAAGTGCCTTTGTGTGTGTAAAATTAAATTAGAAGTGAAGTTGACCATTATTTTCCAATGACTAACATTCTTCAACAAATACAATTGGAATCTGTCAAAAGAAAACTAAGATTAATGGAAAGAAACCAAAACTGCTAGCATACGACAGTCTACAAACATCGCCATAAAATAAAACCATGGCAGATATAAAAGAAAAGCAGCTGAAGCAGAACCACAACAACCTCAACAAACTCTTGCATCCAACTTCACTCTTTTACATGTCTACCATAATACTATGAAAGTTTCTGTGTAACAGTAAAATACTCCACCATTACTGAGTTAAGTATCAGAGCACATCAAGGCAACAATGAATCACATGGAGCTTCATCCCTGCATAACTCTCTCACTTCTCACACACTATTACTGTGTCCTCTATGTATTGTGACTGCTAATAAGGCTCTTTGTATTTTCTGGTAGATTAGGTCAGGTAAAGTAAGGTTGTGATCTATACATATTACTTCCTCTTGTTTTTTCAAAGATAAAGTTAGGCTAGGTTAGGTTAGATCAGGTTATGTTTGGTCAGGACTCAGGTTAGGTCAGGACTCAGGTTAGGTTAGGTTAGGTCAGGACTCAAGTCAGGTCATGTTAGGTATACATATTATTTTCACTTGTTCCTTCAAAGGTTAGCACTTCATTTTGTACTATGACATGCACTTCCACACCAGCAACACCCCGCATTAATAACTACAACCTATCTTTTTCAATTTTCCTCCCTTAATGTCTGTATGGTACTGAGAAATTTACACACCACTACAGTTCTGTTATACTCTTGACATCTTACCCACTTCTAAAACATTAGCTTCAGTAAGTATCCATGTGGGTAATGAGACCATACCAAGGGTAATTTGCTCCTCTTATATGTATATACTGTATGTAGCCAAAGTGTTTTATATATATATACATACAGGTTGACAATCCCTTATCCAAACCAAACATCTTTTCCTGACATTCAATACAAGTCTTGTCAGGCAGACCCTTCCTCAAATATTATACTTGTAACTCCACATACTGAACATTATGGGCTGAAAATCGAACAATACCTTAACATGTGCTGGGAAAAAATAAATAAAAGTAATGTATGTATACTGACGTGGCTATCAATGTGCAAAGCAATCACTAAGCGTTTGTGTCAGAGAAATTTAGACTTAGCATAGAAGTAGGTAAAACAATATCTTTGAGAAAACTCAGATAGTATGAGGCTATGAGGCAAGGTGTTCTATCACATGGTACTGTGGTATAATTAGGACAAACAGGCATATATGGCAAGAACATTAAGTTTAGTTAAATGAAGGAGTAAGTGACAAAATAATGGGTGAACTAAATTCTCTGAATGACAGAGCTAAATCTGATATGAGGCACACAATAAATGGCACTTTAATACAAATATGGCAAAATGAAGAAAAAAAAGGCAGGAAATATATTAACATTGCTTTTGCTACAGCGCTGCATATATGGGAGACCAAGGGTCAACAAAGTACAAAAAACAAAAATAATAATAAAATCCAAAATCCTGCCCAACTACCCAAATCTAAAGACATACAAGCATATATATATATTGAAAATCCATAAGCTTACAAAAGATCCTTGTAGGCATTGGAAGTTCTAAGGACCTAGGACTATCAAATACTGTAATCTAACTTGAGCATCTATTACATGGGGGGGAGGGATAGCTATTGTTCAGCTGGAGGATTGTGTTGTCTAAGATTACAGAAAGACTAAATGATGGCTTCTGCAGAGAGTTGGTGCTCTGTATGCCAGCTTCTATATGCTATAGTGGTAAAGGGTTTACAACAGTGAACAAAAATTAACCTTTGATCGCTCAAATGAAAGTTATAATACATACATAACAGCAGCAGAGAAACCAGGCACAATCAGTGAGTAAAGAGCCTCATTCTGTCAGGTATATCAAAATCTTCAAGCTACTTTTTGGGCTCAATCCTCCCTTTCCGTCTACAAGAACTATAATAAGAGATAAATTAGCCTTTCAACATACTACACGTTTTGTCCCACACATCTAGCACTTAACTTATCAGAGACTACTGTGATAAACCTATACTCCAATTTGGGTTAAAATCCTTTGTTACCAGTTCAAATTAAATGTGTTCAGAAAGTTGGACACATTCAGACTCTGCCATCTCAATAGCTCCCTCTAGAGAAGCAGTGAAGGATAACAAGCTTGGAAAATACATGCCACATAGTTTCTAGTCACACCACACTTTATGTATGAAATCTTAAACCCACATCCAGTCCTCATCTTGTTTTATTCTGAAACACTGGACATCAGCACCTGCAGGCTGGTAGTGAGTTAAGGTACCAACTGTAAATGGCCCACACTTTCACATGTTTTATCTTCTGCTGTTCATTGTCACCAGCAAAATGCAACATTCCCCAAAACTACTTATTACAGTTTTAAAGCAAACAAGCCACCATGTCACCTTCATACTGAAACTGAACTACTCACAGCCAAGGCACTGTGTTCACTGACCCAAGATATACCGGCCATGACTGGAACACTACCCTGGGGTAAATGACCACATGATTGAGATGACATCAGTTGAGTGTTTAAAGGGAGGGTATAATTGGTCCCATATATTAAGAGCTTTTGGATGAATTAGTACATTATTCTTTGGGGGAAAAATCGGGAATAGATCATCGGTGAGGAAGTATGGATAATCTAAAATCTAGTTGTGCATGAACTCTGCCTGATGGTAATATCTAATAACTATCTGTACTGAGTCAAGAAACTGGTAACTATTAATTCAGCTTTAATAGATGTACCTCAAGTCTCAGGAAGGTGAATGTACTTTATCTATTCCAATATTGCCAACTTACACTATAAGTACAGCCAATTGCTTCTTTTTGTTTTGTGTTTCCATTTCTCACAAACATTTATACAGCCTTAAGATTTCTGTAAAAGCACCTAAACACCATTAAAAATAATCATATATTATAATTTACAAACTTTTAAGACACTATATATTCCTATGCATTATCTTAGACCTGCATTTTTCATAATTACCTTATGATACAGTAGAGGAAAATGTTACAACATATTTCCTCATACATTACATTACATTCCACATAATATCACCACTTCTTACTGAACCTAACTCAACTTCACTTTCACCTGGTTAACTAAAGTTCACATCATTCAATCAACCTCTTATTGCTTGACCTTCCCTGGTGACCGCCTGTACACAATAGGAAGCATGGACACTCCAACACACGGCTCCTCAGTACGTAGGTCCCAGATCACGTAAGGGCTGGTGTGTACTCGAGAGTCTGAGGTAACTCATAAAAACAGTGCCCAGGATTTAATGTTGTGGCTTTAAATTAACTCATTGAAGTTCTACACTCAGGTCACAGCAAGTGTGTCCAGTAACGTTTAAGTTATCTGTAAGATTCTTTTTATTTTTACATGAATCATTATATTTTATGTGCTATGCTGGGTTTACAACTCACATGTCGGGGCTATGAAACTTAAGGTCACACAATGCCTCAGGTTAGTCTTCGAGTGACTAATCAAAAGTTTTTGAGCAATATAATCTTAAAGGGATTAGAAATAAGGCATGGAAGATTTAATTTCCTATTACTGGCCCCTTGAAGTATGCAGAAACTCACCACCACACATAATCTACAGTTCAGTAAAGCCTTTGGATTTAGCCTTTGGATATATTCTACCTGAATCAGAAAACTCAAAAAATGCCTCTGGAATGTAAATTTTGTTCCTCCGTCTTGAAAATGAGCCCACTGATCATAATAACCATTTCCTGTACTGATTAAAACCTTCTCCTCCTACTTCACATGTCAAGGAGAATTATTATACATAAGAAATAAAAATAGATATGTGCATATAATGGAGACTTACTAAAAAACAAACTCATTAACAAGCATCTCCATACATATATAAAAGAGAGCCTCTTGGTCTACCAATAAAAAGACTATTCTTAACCTAATCAAGTGGTGTTTCCCTCTACACCTAAGTTTCCACAGTTCCTCTATCTCTCAATGTCAGATCATTCCAACTCTTCCCATAATATATACCAAAATATATTTGCTCTCACTGTGAGTATCCACTGCAGATTCACTTCTCCAGGCACACCCAAGTAACTCCTGCCAGGTTCACACCCCACGCAGTTCCTTCATCCTCCGCTGTATGTAAAATGCCATATCTTCATACCTGCATTTGAAGAACAACCAGAGTATCATAATTCATAACAGAGTTAAAACTTGTGATAAGCAAAAGACCTAAAAATAAGTTGAATTGAATTGAAACAGTTTATTTAGCCAGAAAAACACAGATACAGAGTGGATAATAATAACAATATTAACATGGCTGAGCCAGTTGAGAACCTGAGCTCTCCTGTATTCTATAATATTATAAGTTATCATTAAAGACGAAAAAACATGTAAGTAAAATGGTCTAGAGTGAAAACTAATATGGTTCTTCTACCAAATATGTAATTTTGGCTTTTAAACTTTTAAAAATATGACACCAGTTAAAGATACACTTTCATGCCTGGCGATATATAAACCTTCCCCAGTTTTCATCTCTGGCAGTTTATAGTGTAACAAGAGAGACGGTGCTGCACAGGACTACAAGTCACCTGCCAGTTGATGCCAAAAAATATTTAAGGTCAATAATTTCCTGACTATCCTTTAGAGTATCTGTCAAATTTAATGAATATATCTCTATACATTTTTCTTTTCTATGGAGAGTTTGGCTGGACATACAAATGGACAGATGAAGAGCAATCATACAGTCTGCCAATACTTAGATGACTAATAATGATTTACTTACTGTAATTGTAATAATTAGATATGATTCCAGTGGTGCTGACTTCAGTTATCCTACAAACTCTTGTACAGAGCAATCTCAGGTTTTCATTGTATCAAAATGTATGTGGAAACTACAGTACTCACTTTTGTTTAACTGCTAGAATTTGCCGCCGTTCTTCTTGTTCGTACTGCTGAAGGATGGCACGGCATTCAGCTAAGCTTAGGTTGAGAAACTGTGCCACCTAAAATAAGATTGTCTTGTTAAAATTTTCTCCATTTCCTTAATCTACTTTCTGTTTATCTATCTCACTACAATATTAATAACATAGTCTTCATTCAAAGCTGGAGCATATACTGTACAGTACTCGCTAGATTTGGTTACCTGTTTTATTAGGCTTCTTTTCCCTCAAGATCTGTTTTTCTCTTTATGAACACTTTGCAACACATGTTGACCCTTTTGATGCAATTGCTACACTATACTATGTGGTAAACAATGGCAGTGCAATCACTGCACTCATCCTGTTTGATCAGCTGGCATGTACGGAGGTGGCCACAACCCACAAATTATCTCCAGGCTTGCCCGTGTCTTCTCAGTCATAGCCGACAGCAGATGACCACCGAAGGGTCAAGACGTACCTGGCGCTCCTCTCGGAGCAGCCAGGTCAACTGTTAAGTTGGCCCATACCAACCCCCTCCCCTGAACCCTCCTCCCCACCGGAATATCAACAAGTTCTCGCCAGAAGTTACAATTTCATTTAGGAAAGGAACGGAACCAGTGTTAAACAGAGGTGAACAGTAGTGAACAGTGCTTAAGTCAGTGAGAACAACTCAACAGTAACAGTCGTACCCAAGTTAACCTTCACACAGTGAGGTCCCAGGTACCCAGAGATAACACCATCTGTGAGGTAATTACTACACCACGTGAGGTCCTTCATAACACCATCTGTGAGGGAATTACTACACCACGTGAGGCCCCTCATAACACCATCTGCGAGGGAATTACTACACCACACCAGGTCCCTCATAACACCATCTGAAGGAACTACTACACCACGTGAGTTCCTCCTAACACCATCTGGGAGGGAGTTACTACACTACGAGTTTGCTGTTCAACACCTACATTAATCTGTATGTTCACTGTATGTTCCTTTACCTTTCTCTAATGAAGGCTTTTGTTAAACCACCAATGTATGTAATAAGTCATTTATGTCCAATGTATATTTTCAGCCTTCGGGCTGCAGAATTTTTTCAATAAACCGTTAATTATTATTAATTATTATTATTATTATTTTATGTGTATTCAAGTCAGATTACCTGAGTATCACTTATCCCTTAACATGCTTCAGGTAATCCCACCTGACTATGACAATGTCAGGTAATGTGACTTAACTAAACTATGACAATGTCAGATCATAACCTTTTCATGCATAAGGTCCCCTGTCAGTTATTGTAAATTCATTTACCCCTGAACATGAAAAAAATGTTTGTGCATGTATGTTTGTGTGCATCTACACTCAGATTGTGGTCAGATAATTTTATTGCAAAAAATGATTTGTTTACTTTGTATGACAACTTTAGGTTAATTTTGTTAACTTTCCCTTTGCACTTGGGGTACAGCTATCTAGTCAAGACTTGTATTAAAAGGGATAATTCTCTGCAAGCTTTCTTAAAAGAGAGGTGAAGCAAGCAAACTTCTCAAGCATAAGGCCAACTCATTCATCTCTGGTGTAAACATATCCCTGACAAACCTTTTGTTTCCACATGCAACTGCCACCCATGAGGAACCCAAAATCACCCATTCTTAACTTGAACATTTACATAAATTAATCATTTTAATATTCATGATATACAGTATATGACTAACCAAGCAGTTTTTTGCAAGAACAAACATAGTTATCAAGCTTTATTTATGACACAGAATGTATAACAGTATCAAATGTAATTTACTTATATTTTAGATAAATAAATCTCTGTTCTATACAATACAGGTTGTACCTCTCTAGTCCGGCATTCTGTGGTCCGGAAACTCCCGTGGTCCGGAACGATTTTAGTTTGTCCAATAGGTAGATAGGCAGTTTTTTTTTGTTTTTTTTTAACTTATCTGAACTATTATTATTATTGTTACAGGAGTATTAAATTTTTGCTCCTCAGGCCCCAATGTGGCTCAGTGACCTATGCCCGGGTGGGCTAATCCCCTTAAATAAAAAAACCAGCCGCGGGAAATTAAGGTTTGTTTACATCCGGCAGTTTGGCTGCTCTCTCTCTCTCTCTGCTTGTCTATACAGAGTACAACATTTAACCCTTCAATATATATGAGCAGTAAATAAGTGTTGCTTTCATATTCTTATGTAGAGTAATGACGATATGTTTTCACATGTGCGCACTTACATACGCGGTCTCACTTTTTTTTTTACCATTAATGGTTAGCTACTTATACTGTATTGTTCCATTTATTAACATTCAATAACATTACAGTACTTCAAACAACCATATTAATTTTTTTACATTAATTTTACTACAGCTAAAATCAGGGTCTTATTTTCTTCAGTTTTATATGTAGAACCAATCAGTCACTGGTTTTGTAAGCTTTAACATTTAACATAAACAATGCCGGCAGCCGTCTCGTCTCCTCTAATATTCCACGTATTATTAATAAATTGTATTGTTAATTTTGCACACACAAACATTAATTCAATAAAAACAAATTCAGAAACATTAATTAAAATATAAATGAACAGTAAATAAGTGTTGCTTTCATATTCTTATGTAAAGTAATGACGATATGTTTTCACGTGTGTGCACTTACATATGCGATCTCTATTTTCTTTACCATTATCGTTAGCTACTTCTATTGTTCCATTTATTAACATTAAATAACATTACTTAAAACAACCACATTAGTTTTACTACAGCTACAACCAAGGTCTTATTTTCTTCAGTTTTATATGTACAACCAGTCAGTAACTGGTTTCGTAATCAACGAAAACAATGCTGTGTCATTTCCTCGTGTGTTTTAATATTCTACGTATTATTAATGAATTGTAATGCTCATTTTGCACACAAACATTAATTCAATAAAAAAACATTCAGTAATAAACAATAATGAATCTTTTGTACATAAGAGAAATGACGCTGTTTACACGATTATGCACGTCATCTGCACGTTGGTGGGCCGTTCAAACCCGTCGAAATTCAAGTTTCCGCCGTCAAAATTTTTATTTATTTATTTTTTGTGTTCCAATAAAATACGTTAAGAATTAAAAACTCGCGAAATTTGAGAAGCTACTATACGACATTTAACCCTTCAAAGAGATCATGATGCAGAGAAAGTGGTGCTAGTGCTTCCAAGCATAAGCACAAGTCACTATCTATCCAGGAAAAGGGTGAATTTCCATGGTCCGGCACCGGTCAGGTCCCGAGGTTGCCGGACTAGAGAGGTACAACCTGTATATGAAAGGGTTGAGTGCAGGGAATTACCTAATACAACATTAATACTATAATCAGCCATTACTAACCTGGGGGGATATTTCCTCTGTCTGCTGAGCGTCAACAATAAACACACGTGCAACATCCTCATGCGGACCAAGCATGACACGTGTTATCAGAGGGTACTCGTCATCTCGAATTCTTCGTCTCTCTAAAAATATAAAATTTAAAGTGGAAACTGATTTGCATTGAAATTAATATCGGCAATAGCATAAAAAAGGAATAATCCTGAAATCGCTTCATCTAGAAAAGCCCACAAACAGAAACAGCTCTTTATAGCAGATGACTTATTAGACATCTCTTGAGCTCTTTGGCTGGGACTCTGGGGTCTACCAGGCCTTATCTAGCAATTATTATCTAACCAACCACTCTTCTTGCCCTCCTGTATAGCCCATCTCAAATGAGGGGAGCCGCTGCAGAGGTTGCCCTCCCTTCACACACAAGGGGTATGGGACGTTTGCTTTGATCCAACGTCTAACAAATCTGATATGTTTAAAAAAAAAAAAAAATCTGGATTCATGAAGGGGTAGAGCCAGCGCTATGATAAGGTGTATGTAGTGCTCTACAACTTGATACAGAGGCAAAGAGAGAGAATGTTGAACATTTACTGTTATAACGCAACTGTATCACATTGTGTAGAGCTACATACAGTACGTAAAATTACACAAAAATCTACAGCTGTACCAACATCTTTCATGTGTTGTAGCCAGCAGACTACCAGAGTTGAGAGTAACGGTATTACATTTTAAGTAACGATTACAGTAATGTCGTTACTTAAGAAATTTTTTACAACATTGGTAACGATTACTTGTTACTTTTATACAGTATTTCAATAAATAAAAGTCCAGTACAGTTCGCCCGGATAATTCACAATTTTTTTTCGCGGTCCTCTATTTTTCGCGGATGACACCCTGAATGTACCCAAGAATATCTGTGGTTAGTTTTAAAATTGCCGGTATTTTTGCGGCCGGGACAGGGAGCCATTCGTTCTTGAGACAGTAATTTCTTTTACCTGTTTTGTATGTGTGTGTGTGTGCATGTGTGTGTGTGTACACGCACGCACACACACACACATGCACACACACACACATACAAAACAGGTAAAAGAAATAATTGTCCTAAGGGCAAACACATAGAGGGAATATACATTTCTTTGTAAAAAAAGTAAAAAAAGTACCCCCCCCCCTCACTGGTCAGCAAATGTTATTTGCAGATTTGGCGATTCGTGGCCATTTTGAGAAACAAACCCCCGCGAATTTGAAGGGCCTGCTGTATATTAAAAGTGAAAAAAATGCACACGAATAGCTGAATACAGTGGCCATCATGTTCTAACATGTTTTGCTACCGTCACTCCGTCGAGCCCTGTGGCACTTGCGCAGTTCCATTAACTCATGAATTGCAGTGTGTCTCTATAAGACGCTTTTTATGTTGCTGAAGAACAAGTGTTGATATTGGCGCCTCTTTATTTCAAACAGCCTGCCTGCATACGTCACACTCAAGAGACATGATTTTTATTAGGTCATTGCCTAAACCGACCAATAAATGAGCAGGTAGGACTAAGAGATGTCGGATTTAACTATATTTTTAGGGGTACAATTCAAATCACACATGCGTAGGTGGACATAAGGGGAGTGAGTATAACTCTATGCATGCAGTCTGACGTGCTCTGTTTCAGCACATCGTTGTCATATAACTTATAATAAAAAAAAACTATAATTTGTGAGCTCTTTCTCAACTAAATTAGACTATTACTTAGCATAAAAATAATGTTACTGTACATAAAAAAGTAACGGTAAATCATTACGTTTTTTAAAGTGTAACGGTGCTACATTTTCTACCAAGTAACAGTACCTGTAATGCCATTAATTACTCTAGGAAAATAACACACACAACACTGTAAACTACAGTATTCGAATCTTGACATTTTGTTATACTGTTTGTACACTGTAGCTTAGAATTGTCCCAGGAATACACCCTGAAATTTAATGTACAGGGGGTCCTCGAGTTACGAACATCCAACTTACGAACACCTGCCGATATGAATGAGGTCCCATATGGTCAATTATTTTATGAATCCGACATGGGTATAACTGGTTCATAGTATTAAAATACAAGATCTAGTTTGTGCAGCGAACATAAAAATGGAGGAAACTGCAGTGGCCTATTGGCCCATATTGGGCAGTCCCATTTACACCCAACCCCTATTGCTCAAATATCCATCTAACCTATGTTTGAAGCTATCTATTGTATTCGAGTCAATAATGATGCTTGGTAACTTGTTCCATTCATCCAGTACTCTACCGGTATTTCCATACCAATGTTTACCTATTTCGCGCCTAAATCTAAATTTGTCTAATTTAAAACCATTCCTACGAGTTCGCTCCAGGTTGGATAGTTTGAGTACCTTTGTTATGTCCCCTTTGTTTAGCCCTGACTTCCATTTATACATCTCTATCAAATCACCCCTCACTCTACGTCTCTCGAGGGAGTGCAAATTAAGATGCTTTAACCTGTCTCTGTACTCAAGGTTCCTAATGCCCGGGATTAGTCTTGTCATTCTCCTCTGAATTATTTCTAGGGATTCTATATCCATTCTGTAATACGGTGACCAGAATTGAACTGCGTAATCCAAGTGGAGTCTCACAAGTGCAAGATATAGTTTCAGGATGACCTCTCTAGTTTTGTAACTAACGCTCCTTTGTATGAACCCAAGTACTTTATTAGCCTTGTTTCGAGCAAATACACATTGTTTACTTGGCTTAAGATTTCTACTTATCATTACTCCTAAATCTTTCTCACATTCGGATTTCTCTATAACATCGTTGTTCATCTGATTTCTCTGTCTACATCTCCTAGACTAAGTACTTTACATTTGTCCACATTGAATTTCATCTGCCATTTTTCAGACCATTCAAATTTTTTTTTAGATCTTCCTGTAGTTTTGCGGAGTCCTCGTCAGATTTAATTACACGCCTATTTTAGTGTCGTCAGCAAATTTACTATGTTGGTGTCTACGCCGATATCTATGTCGTTGTCGTTTATGTATATAATAAATAATAATGATCCAAGTACTGAGCCTTGGGGTACTCCACTTGTGACGTTACTCCAATCGGATTTAGTGCCGTTAATGCTCACTCGCTGTTTTCTGTCCTGTAACCACTCACTAATCCACTTTAGAATATCTCCTCCTATGCCATGAGCCTCCACTTTTCTTATTGTCTTTCGTGGGGCTCTGTCGAAGGCTTTGCTAAAGTCAAGATATACCACATCATAGTCGTGCCCCTCGTCCACTGATTCGAAAACAGCTGAAAAGAATGTTAATAGATTAGTTATACAGTACATGAATGCTCGCTTGTGAAGCTTTCCTCCAGGATTCTGGTACTACACCTGTTTTTAAGGACACGTTAAACAATTTTGCTAAGGGCATACAAAGCTCTTCCTTACATTCCTTTAATACTCTGGCAAATATCTCATCAGGACCTGGTGACTTATTAGGCTTTAACTTGTCTATTTGCTTACTAACAGCGTTACTAGTCACTACTATCTCGCTTTATCTATTTTCTTCACTATCTCTGCACAGAACATAATCGGTGTCTCGGGTATCATGTTCAAATTTTTGGTGGTGAAAACTGTTGAAAAATATTTATTCAGATTATTGCTCATTTCTCCGTCATTATCAGTTAGCTCGCCGGTATCTGACTGTATTGGTCCAATCTTTACTTGTGTTTTAGTATGATACATTTGAAAGAATCCCTTGGGGTTTGACTTTGCCTCCCTTGCTACCCTCAGTTCATTATTCCTCTTTGCTTTTCTTATCTCGGTCTTAACCCTACTGGCCAATACCTTATAATAATCTCAGAGGTAAACTTCACCATGATTTATTCTTCTACCTATAGCCTTCCTTTGTCCAATAATATTCTTTAAATAATTGCTTATCCATTAGGGTCATTGTTGTCTGATCTGAGTTTTCTGTATGGTATGTTCTGCCTTTGTGCATTAAGTAACTCATTATTTAAATTGTTGTGGAACTCGTCAACCCCAGATCCCGTGATCAGGTCATCCTCAACCGTCATATTTTGCGAGGATATCGTTGTCAGGGTCTCCAGGTAAAGTAAGGTTGCCCTCTGTGGGTACATTGTGTGAGGTCATGTAATCCATCCCCAAACATGATACCCCTTCTCTCAGCTCCCTTTTCAACCTATCAAAGTTTGCCCTTCTGAAATCTGGGACGTGAATGGAATTTTCCTTGAGTTTGGCATTAAATTCTAACTCAAATCTTATTTCTTTGTGATCGCTGTTGGCAAGTTCGTTCCCTACCTCGACATTACTAATGAGGTTTTCTCTGTTTGACAGAAGTAAATCGAGTACTGTATATTATTACCCCGGGTGGGTTCCGTTATATGTTGACTTGGGAAACAGTCCTGAACTGTTTCAAGAAAATCCTCTGATTATAAGTTACCTGTAAGGTTGATCCAATCTATTTGACTTAAGTTAAAGTCGCCTACTATACAGACTTTGCTATGTCTGGATGCTCTGCACATTTCATCCCAGATAAGTCGTTCATTAACTCTATCAAGATTAGGAGGTCTATATATTACTCTTGCGATTAATTTTTCTCTATCATTGATTAATTCTATCCAAATTGTTTCTGTATTCAGTTCAGTTTTTATTTCCTATTTATTTCACACTTCAGATTATCCCTGACATACAGTAGATTGCTACTCCGCCTCCTTTCCTAATCTGGCTATCGGTATGGAATAATTTGTAACCTGCAATTTGATATTCAGCAGGTAACTCAGGTGAGTCTAAGTTTATCCATGTTTCGGTGAATGCTATTATATAAATTTTTTCGGTACATACCAATGCCCTGATTTCATCCATTTTGTTTCTCATACTTCTACTGTTCGAGTAGTAGACATTTAAGTTAGTCGTGTTCTGAGTCCTCTCTTTGACGCGTTTAGGTTATAACTCCCTGCCTAATTTAGTTTTGTCATCATTCCTAGCACTATTTCCCTGTAACCTTTCACTTTGTTTACCTGCTCCCACTGCAGAGTCCAATCAAAATCAAATCATCCACCTCCGTACCCATATGTCCCCCGAGCAGTTTAAAGACTTCGACATCTTTTGAACTGCCCTTTCGAGAGAGCCAGCCAGGGTTGCCACCCCCATCCCCAGACAGTTGCACCCCATCCCTCGCATAAAGGTCCCTTCTGCCATAAAACTTGTCCCAGTTGTCAATGAATGGGACTGATATTGACTTGCAATATCTGTCAAGACGGCCATTGACACCAACTGCCCTTGACAACCATTCATTGTCAACTCTCCTTCTAGGCAGGACACTACATATGATAGGGATCCCCCCCTTCAACCTAATACGTTCTATAGCCGTCTTGAATTTATCAAGAAGGTCCTCACTCCTACACCTGCCAACATCATTGCCTCCTGCACTAAGGCAGATAATGGGTTTGTTCCCATTACCAGACAAGATATTGTCCATCTTGTCTACTATATCCCCCACCCCAGCTCCTGGTAAACACACTCTCAACCTATTTTTAATTTTACCACAAAAAGCTCTATCCAGGTACCATACCTGAGAATCGCCAACAATTAAGGTTTTCGTACCTTCCCTGACTATGCTAACGTCCAATTTGTCTATCAAAGAACTAAAAGAGTTTTTACAGTTAGCTGTTGTCATTTCCTTGGTGTCTTTTCTCACCATAATTTTGGTCGTTCTTCTCCTCACAACCTTCCATTTGCCTGAGTTTTCGTCAGACACGGGCTCTCCTTGTCTTGTGTCTTCTTCCTCCATCTTCACTATCACTACCTTTAATTTCAAGTTTTCTTCTTTGACCTTCTCTAACTCGGCCCTGAGTAGGGCACAGCCCTGGTCATAAGTAGCACTAGCCATTACCGACAATTTATTCCTGGGAGCTAAGTCTGCGTAGCAGCGAGGTGGAGCAGCGGGTGGGAATTAATGCATCAACCAGCCACGCGCCTTGAGGAAGCATCAGTACGCCTTACCCTCACCTCAATAACATGTGTAATCAAGTGCAAACTGTTGTTTTTTTAGTATTCACTATTTTTCTGCCCTCATCATGGCTCCCAAATGCAAACCTGATGCAAATGATAATAGTGCAACCAAGAAGAGGAAAACAATTACAATGGAAGTGAAAGTTGATGTAATTAAGTGTTCTGAAAAAGGAGAAACTCTCTCAGTCAATGGTAAATCATTGGGCTTCAGTCGGTCAACGGTCGGAACAATTTGGAAAGACAAACACAAAATTCTTGAACATGTAAAAGGATCTACACCAATGCACTCAACTGTGATAACAAAAAGAAAAGAAGTAGATTGTTATTTGAAATGGAAAGATTGTTAGTGGTATGGATGGAAGATCAGCCAGCCCACAGGTTTCAATGTATTAAACCTTAATTTTTACTTTCCTTTGCTCTATTTTGTCGTTTAATTTCTTCTTTTCTCTTAAATTAAGTGATTCTAGATGTATAAAAGGACTTAGGCTATGATAAAGTGCACATAGGGTTTGTGTTCCGACTTTGGAACATCCTCAGGAACGGAACTCGCTCGTAACCCGGGGACCCCCTGTACAACTTTGTGAATCATCTTGTATAATCTGTATAAGTTACAAACACCTGGAATTTTTACCTCCATTATCTTTAATTACGAAGAGGGCAAAGTTGCGAGTTGACATTTCCACTCTGTACTTCTCCAACAGCATGTTAAGGACCTCCTCTGCTGTAACTAAGGAGGTGACCCACACACTGCAGGGTGAGCCATGAGGGGGTGTGAAGGTGCTGGTCTCTCTTAAATAGAAGTGACCATTGATTGAACATCGCCTCTGTAAAGAAAATGGTTGATAAATAATTTGTATTAAAAGCATCAGGTTTACAAATTCTGTTTTTTAATAAAATTAAAAACAAGTGTACACTATATAGTACTGTGTACTTTTTCTAACTACTGTACTGTGTTTCAAAAATATATATACTGTATATATTTTAACATATAGAAGAGATATTTGACTCAGCTTGATGACAACTAAACCAACTGACAGCTCATAGATACAAAGATAGTTGTCAAATGAAATATATGATGAAAGTTTTACAAATGTCATCTTTGGTTAAATGAAGGAAAAGTAAACACAATAAATCAAAACAGCAACAGACCATCATAAATTTATACTACAGCAAAATCATGAATAACAATCTTTTAGAAATTTAGATTAGTGAACCTACATGATTAGGGACCCTGGCAATGAGATGTTTAGTTTGATCTTAAAAAGCCACAAAACATTACAGCTATTCCAGGGAAAAGCCTGCTCACATTGCTTTTGTTTACACCAGACAACTACACTTGCACAATGTAGTGATGCCAGTCTGTATCTAACTTGATCCTGGGAACAGATAGCAGTTACTGTACCAGATGCCTCCACTCACCCCAGCACACTATACTCTTCCCTAAATGTTAACACAGAACATCATATAATGCACAGCAGAACCTTTAAAATCTACACACAGTAATCAAGGAATCTCAGAAAACTTGAAAATAATAAAGTATCAAAAAATATCATTCTGAGGTGGATGGTATGAAGGAGAGTGGAAAATCACAGAGATGGAGGGATGGGGTGAAGGAGGCACTAAAACCAGGTCAAATGAGCATATAGGAAGGAGTGGAGTACTGTATATGAATTACAGAAGGTATGACAAGTGGTTTATGTGGCTGTTACATTAATATGGGTGTATGACAGCAATTTAAAATAGTAAGTGTGCGTGCGTGCGTGTGTGTGCACATTGTAATGGGAGACACAGACATTCAAGACAGGTGTATGTGCCATCCCTATCACATGTGTTGGGGGACCAGAGCTCCTGTCATCATAAAATGTTAATCAGTACAGTAAGTCCTCATTTAACGTTGCCCCCGACAACGTTGTTTTGTTATAACGTCGCTACTCTTTAGATACTCATGATTTGGACAACGTCCCATCGATTCAGTATAACGTCGTCACGGACTAATTTGTACGGCGCATCACCCTCTCTCAACTTGGCGCGCTACGCTCTCCCATGGAGCGTCACAGTGTCCCCAGGCTTCCAGTGTACGTGCGTGTTTAAGGGATTTTGCTTTAAATACTGTCCTGTAACCATTCGAAATGGCTTCCAAGCGCCCATCAAGTGCTATTGATGCTATTGTTTTGAAGAAGCAACATAAGACCATTAGCCTGGCTATGAAAAAAGAAGTTTTAAACCGCCCATCAGTACAATACAAAATTATTTCGTTTATTTATCTTTTTGGATGTATAATACATACCTGTACTATTTTCTATAAAAATTCCATTACATTTATGTTTATGTAATGTATTTTATGGGGCAAAGGGAGGCTCAGGAACGTAACTCCCATATTTTATCTATTTCTTACGGGGAAAATTTATTTGTTAACGTTGTTTCTATTAACGTCACAGTTTTCAGGAACAGAACCACGACGTTAAATGAGGACTCATTGTACTGTAATACATTATCCGCACATACACACCTTGAGCTTGGTCTTATCCATCCTCCTGCCTGGCCTTCTCCGAATAGCAGAACTTCCAGTTTTCATGGCGGCAGCCCTTCTTGATGGTGTCTGGTCATCAAGGCTTGTGTTAAGCTCGCCGGAGTCATTGTTTTCTACGACTGAAGAATCTCTATTTTCACCATCAGTAGGAGATTCAAAACTAGGAGACAAAGGATTGTTATTTAGAGTGACATCTGGAGACATGTTCTTGACTTTGGTATTGGTGCTGGAGATATCAACAGTTACGGACTTAGGGGTGAGTGAAGTCTCCTCTCTGACACTCACAACACCATTTGTTGACTTTGTGGTATTACCACACTCAGCATCTAACAAGGTAATTAAGTTACAACAGGTATTACTAACAGTGTTCTTCCATACATCCCCATTAACACCCAGATCTGCTTTGGTTTCTCTCTGTGTCTGATCCTTCCTGTCTGCTTGACTGTAGATTTTGTTACTAGAGTCAACTCCATCTTCCCTTGTTGAAGAAAATATTGGCTCAGTTGATGTAACAGGGGTGAGAGGTCTACTGCCTTCTCTCTCATGAAATAACTGGTCACTAAGAAATATGCAGGGTAATGTATGTCTCCCCAGTGAATTAACTTTGGGAGTTTGTGGTGAACTTGGGGACTGAGGAGTACGCCAGCCATTCAGACAATCCTCCCGCCAGAGAGTCTGCTCCTGAAAAAAGAAAAGAAAAAAGAGAAACATGTAATTCAGTAATTATTTATATAAATACCCTTATGAATTCCATAACCACATACTGGAACAAGACAGATGGATATATTGTGTTAAATTAAAAGTTGAAGACTTTGTACATGTTTCAATAGCAATGTGTACTCTCAATTTTTCAAGCTTTACAAAGCATTACTCTTGAGAAGTATATTCAGTGAAAGTGAACTTTGGAAAGGTAACATCTTTCAAAATTAAGAATAAAGTACAAAAATATATACATTTATGAGTTGTAATTAGAGGTCAACACACACACATACAGACATGTTCTCCCACTTTTTGTGACAGAAACAAAAAGGCATTGAAGGACTTCCTAAAAAACGAAAATCATGTTTATCACATTGTCAAGGATATAAATCTGTATGATCAAAAATTTTCCCAAAACAGATTAGTTATGGTTTATTGCAACACCTAAATACTGTACAGTAATCACAAATACTGTATCATTAAATTTAGGACATGCACTTCTGGACTCTTTAACATGAAGAGAGATGTCTCATCCCATACAAACAATACTGCTGACTAGAAAGTTATATTATGAGAGTATGGTCACAATGAAAACACTGTACAGTACAGTATACTACATCAGGGATATCTACAAATACTGTACAGTAAGTCCGCGCTTAACGTAGTCCCACTTAACGTTGTTTCGGTACTACATAGATAAATTTTAAAGACCAAAAATTTGTTTAACGTCTCGGTGATCCAATACTACATTGTTTTGAGTAGTCACAGACTACTTTCTGTGATGCATCACCCTCTCTCGTCTGGCCGCGCTACGCTCTCTCGGCTTGGTGCAGTCTCAGTGACTCACCACCCTCCTCCTCTCCCGCCATACTCCTCCCCTCCCGCCATCCGCCTCCTCTGCTCCACTACCCACCACACACTCGCTCTACCACCTCCGCCCATCGGTGAGTACCAATACAAACTTAGTACTTGTATATGTATGCATTATTTTCTATAGAAATGGCAATGATTTTCTGAATACGTAATGTATTTCATGGGGCAAAGGGAGGCTCAGGAACATAACTCCCGTATTTTATCTATTTTTTATGGGGAAAATTGATCCGCTTAACGTTGTTTCGTATAACGTCGCGTTTTTAGGAACGTAACCCAGACGTTAAGCGAGGACTTACTGTACAAGAACACTTGTGGGTATCAAGATGACTGTAAAGATGGAAAAGTATAAGAAAATAATTTATCTTATTTCCAGTCTATTAAATATATAATAATATGAATGAAAATTCTCCACATGAAACCTCCAATTCACAGGACTATGATAAGTGTAGTTCAAAAGTGGACAGTAGTAAACTAATCCACACCTATTTTTGTTTTAGTTTACAATCAAAGCTGGTAGAAGAGTACAAACATGTCATAAGCTCAAATCTGGAATAAAACGGCAGATATCTCACTCAGGGAGGAACTATAGTGATCAACTCAAGTAACAATTCTAGGGTGAGGACTCAGGTTTCATCGCTGCTGATATACTCACCTGGTCACTATCATATTATTCAGCAAGGATGGTTTAACCTACCTCACTAACACCTTTCACTCCATTTCAATTTCCCCTCTTACTGTAGCTGATGAATTTCCATCACTGAAAACTGTACAACCTGAACAAACAACTAAAGTTAAGGTTCTTGACTGAAAACTAAGAACAAGAACAGTCTAAAAATAAGTAACTAAATTAATAATGAGTACAATAACCTAGTACTGTATACAATTCTGGTTAAGACTTCAATAAATTAACAAACACATGTACTGTACAGTCGCCTGTACTTGTACCTGGTACAGTACAGTGGATGGCATGTTTTGTGAGATGTGGCAACTCTGTAAATGTCTGAAGATGGCTTGATGTATAAAAATTACAAAAATATTCACAAGTCCACAACACAATTAAAAAACTACAACGCAATATTTCTTCGGACCATTCATCTGAATACCATGTTACATGTATTAACTTTAGATATTAATGCTTTTATTTTGGAGGCAATGAAGCCATGTTTAGGTTAGGTTAGGTTTATACTGAACCGGTGACAAATTGTCTGGTTATGAAATGTCCTAGAACCAATTTTCTGTACCAACCTCATCATCACTATCAGAGTAAAAGGCAGTCGAGTTTGCAGTCGACCGTCTGCGAACGGCAATTGTCCGCTGGTCGTCCTCCTCCTTCAGGTGGATGACATTACGCACTCCCCAGTAGATCTTCAACACACCTTCCAAGATCATTCGACCATTGGCCTGGAAGAAAAAATATAAACCATATCCATCAGCCTTTTGTTCTAAATTAACCCCAAAAATGAACTACAGTAGTCCACAGTTCTAGTGATAAAATTGATAAATGTAGGAGACAATATACTGTATTCAAGTTCTTAGTACAGTAGTAAACTATTAAGATCATAACTACTAAAGTACACATGGAACAAGAAGAATTTATAAACAATATTGCAAGAAGCCAGGTGGATTTACTGTACAAGCATTAGGTGGAATATAAAAATTTATTTAGTGAAGGTCATACTGTACATGGTTATTCAAAGGGCTCAGTGACAAGGAGGTAATAAGAACATAAGAACACAAGAATGGAGGAAACTGCAGCGGGCCTAATTGGCCCATACTGGGCAGTCCCGTTTACACCCAACCCCTATTGCTCATACAAGCATCCAACCTATGTTTGAAGCTATTCAGCGTATTTGAGTTAATGATGATATTTGGTAACTTGTTCCATTCATCCACTACTCTGTTTCCAAACCAGTGTTTACCTATTTCGCGCCTAAATCTAAATTTGTCTAATTTAAAACCATTGTTACGAGTTAACTCCTGGTTGGATAGTTTGAGTACCTTTGTAATGTCCCCTTTGTTTAGCCCTGACTTCCATTTATACACCTCTATCAGGTCGTCCCTAACTCTACGTCTCTCGAGGGAGCGCAAATTAAGATGTTTTAACCTGTCTCTATGCTCAAGGTTCCTAATGCCCAGGATTAGTCTTGTCATTCTCCTCTGAATTCTTTCCAAGGATTCTATATCCATTCTGTAATACGGTGACCAGAACTGAACTGTGTAATCCGGGTGTGGTCTCACAAGTGCAAGATACAGTTTTAGGATGACCTCGCTAGTCTTGTAACTAACATTCCTTTGTATGAACCCAAGTATTTTATTAGCCTTGTTACGAGCAAAAACACATTGATTACTTGGCTTAAGGTTTCTACTTATCATTACTCCTAAATCTCTCTCGCAGTCGGATTTCTCTATGGCATCGTTGTTCATCTGGTATCTGGTTTCCCTGTTTACATCTCCTATACTGAGTACTTTACATTTGTCCACGTTGAATTTCATCTGCCATTTTTCAGACCATTCGAAAAATTTGTTTAGATCTTCCTGTAGTTTTGCCGAGTCCTCGTCAGATTTATAACACGTCCTATTTTAGTGTCATCAGCAAATTTACTTATGTTGCTGTCTATGCCAATATCTATGTCGTTTATGTATATAATAAATAATAATGGTCCAAGTACTGAGCCTTGGGGAACTCCACTTGTGACGTTGCTCCAATGGGACTTAGTGCCGTTAATGCTCACTCGCTGTTTCCTGTCCTGTAACCACGCCCTAATCCATTTAAGGATATTACCTTTGATGCCATGTGCTTCTACCTTTCTAATTAGTCTTTCGTGGGGGACTCTGTCGAAGGCTTTGCTAAAGTCGAGATATACCACATCATAATTGTGCCCCTCGTCCACCGATTCGAAAACTGATGAAAAGAATGTTAATAGATTAGTTAGACATGAACGCCCGCTTGTGAAGCCATGTTGGGAATCATTGATAAACTTGTGCTTCTCCAGGTGGTTTCACATAGAGTTTGAAATGAATGATTCTAGTAATTTGCCTACTATTGATGTTAGGCTGATTGGGCGGTAGTTAGAGGATAGTGATCTATTCCCCTTCTTGAAAATCGGTATTACATTCGCTATCCTCCAGGATTCTGGTACTACACCTGTTTTTAAGGACATGTTAAACAACTTTGCTAAGGGCATACTAAGCTCTTCCTTACATTCCTTTAATACTCTGGCAAATATCTCATCGGGACCAGGTGACTTATTAGGCTTTAGTTTGTCTATTTGCTTACTAACATCGTTACTAGTCACTACTATCTCGCTTAATTTGCTTTCTTCACTATCTCTGAATAGAGTCAGTGCCTCGGGTATCATGTTAAAATTTTCGGTGGTGAAAACTGTTGAAAAATATTTATTCAAATTATGCTCATTTCTCCGTCGTTATCAGTGAGCTTGCCGGTATCTGACTGTATTGGTCAGGGTCCAAACAGTGCAACAGATTCAAACACTTAGAGCAGATTTTAAAGTTAATAATGTTCTTCAATGGAAACTTCAATGACTGAACAGAAATTTGTTTTAATGTACAAAAATTAATTAACAAACAAGAAAGGCAGCCGCCATGAGAGTAAAGCGCAGTTTTATCAAAACAAGCTTAGACCCCACACTAAAAATAATAAAAAATAAAAAAACTCACACACATACATTCCACAGTCTCCTTACCTCTCTGCTCTTTAGTTCTCCGGGTTTGCCTTCATAATACTGGTTGTAAGCTTTCAACTTGGCCTCAATATGTGATCTGAAAATAGTGAGAAAATTATATAAAAACAAGTATTAAATGTCAGAACAGTGTCCTATTTATCTCATAATCAACGTGTAGCACAACTCTGCCTAATAATAAAGACTGCAACACCTCTCCCAGGTCAAATTAAGCACTACCCACTCCATCACAGTCAAGGTGTGTGTCAACCACCCCAGTCAAGGTGTGTTAACCAACCCTTCACAATCTAGCAGCGGCAGACATGAATACCTCCACAAGACATCTAAATGTTGAGATTCTTGGTTCTCTTGCTTCCTGAGTTCTGTATATACAGTACAATTATACTCTGTTTCAAAATTAACTCACAAGTTTGTACAGTAAAACAGTAAAATAAAAAAAATCCTAAATATTTTACAGTACAGTACAGTACAGTACAAGGTACAGTACAGTACAGTACAGTACTGTACCTGGATTTTTAGAATAAGTGGTAAGGCAATATACCCTCGCTATATCATGGAGATGTGTCTTGAGTGTTGGCATGATGGTGTTGACAGGTTTGGCATGGGTGGATGCACAATAACCGGATTTGAGAATTGGGTTGAAAGTGCCTTTATTTCAAATGTGAGTTGTCAATTTAAGGGAAAGAACATGATATAGCAGTTGATTAAGTTATTATTGCTTAAAAACCCAAATCAAACCCAGTCGTGCTGCTAACCCCGCATTACCAAATATACCCAACTCACCAAGATGATCTCACCTTTTAACTTGGCCGTCCCTGTTTTCAACTTTGCCAAATGAAGTGTGACATTCATTGCGTGTACCATGACCAAAGAGCTGAGGGCCAAACAGTGCTCCATAACATGGGTGATGGCAATATGGCACGCCCTTGTGCTGCAAAAAAAAAAAACCCCTGCATCGGCAAATTGTTACACACACACACATCCAATATACTGTAGATCACCTGTATACAGTACAGTAAGTCCTCGCTTAACGTCGTGGTTCCGTTCCTGAAAACCACAACGTTAATGGAAACAACGTTAATAGAATAAATTTTCCCCATAAGAAATAGATAAAATACAGGAGATAAGTTCCTGAGCTTCTCTTTGCCCAATGAAATACATTACATATACAGAAATTCAATGGCATTTTTATAGAAAATAGTACCACTTCTAGCACTAAATCTTAATCTTGTCCGAGTTGGTCCGGATAGTACGCACTGTTGTGGGGCTTAGACCTAGAGCAGCAGCTATGTCCACTGCACGTTCCCCTTTTCCAAAACGGATTAAAAGTTCCATTTTCGTAGCAAGGCTAATGATCTTACATTGATTCTTCACAACACTAGCATCAGTAGCACTTGATGGGTGCTTGAGAGCCATTTTGAATTGTTAGAGTACAGTATTGAGAGCAAAAACACTTGAACACGTAAGAATGCTGTGGAAGCCCAACAAAGACTGGCAACGCCTGGAATGCTGTGAGGTTCTGCGAGTGAGAGGTAGCGCACCAAGACGAGGGGGTGATGCGCCGTGAAAAGTAGTCCATGACGACGCTAAAAACGTTATATTGAGTTGTCGGGAACGTTAAACGAATTACTGGTATCCAAAGAGTAGTGACGTTATAACGAAAACTTTATCAGGGGCAACGTTAAATGAGGACTTACTGAATATAACTTTCTCTGACACATAATCGCATTTTACGAGCATTTACCTTAAGCGCTTGGCTTAGGGAGGGGGAAAAAACGACATGGTGATTGTAGGAGCGCATGGCTGGGGAAGATACTTCCACTTGCACCTCTCTCAGCCTTAGCTGCCGCATGTACTGAGTAGGGGAAGGGGTTGTGTGTCTCTGCAGAGGTAGCACATCCCAGCTGAGCTGCGATGCAATGTGTATGCACTATCTTGTATAATTTTAGCTTTTTTATGCTTTCATTCTTTTTCCTAAATATTCTCTGCTGAAAACAACTTGACAATCAGTGACAAAGAGGATAAAGTAAACTTATAGCAGAGGTGGTTGTGTGGTGGGCACCTAAACTGAAATAGGCCTAACCAGCAGAGTCGCCAGATGCGCTATTGAAGAACTGCCCACTGCCTCCACACCTACGATCACCTCCTACACACCCATGCTCTTCAAATTTCTTATTTTACAGTTTTATATTATATGTTCTTTATTTCTAAGTCACATTAGAGTACTGAACTGAAATGATTTTTCCACAACTTTTATAGTTTCTTTATATGTCACAATGGCAACATGTATTGCCATCTCCTGCAGGCAACAGCTGACTGGCATGTCAGCCAGCTGACTCCTGGCAGGACTCTTAGAAAAACAGACTTCTTTAACAATTATTCTACTCCATACACACTATGTGGTTTAGAAATAAAGAAAATATAATATAAAACTATAAAATAAGAAAAATGAAGAGCATGGTGTGTATGTGTGAGAAGTGAACGTGTGTGTAGATGGTTGGCTATAACTATGTCTCCGACTCACCAGCTTTTAATGTAACCATAAAAGTTGCCAAAAATCATTAAAATACACTGTAATCTAATGAGACTTATAAATAAAGAAAATATAACATGTATCGGGGCAGTTCTAGCCAAGGCCTTGGCTATAAACTATGTGGCCGATTCGCCAGCCCAGCCGCCTTGTATATTGTTACCTGTAATGAAACTATCAAATTGTGAAAAAATCATTACAATGTGACTTAGAAATATGGAAAATATAATACTGTATAAAACTATAAAATAAGAACAATAAAAAGCAACTGTAGGAAGTAAATGTGTCATGAGGCGATGAGTTACTGGGCTGTAAATGTAACACCCACCACAGTGGTTGCCACACATCTGTCAGCCCATTTAGATGGGTAATTGCCTGAACTGTGTTGTGAGCTGGATGCGTGGGGAACAACTTATTCTTTGCACATAAAATAATATATACGGTTCCAGTAAATGTGAGGAATAAATAAATAAAAAATAAAAAAATAAATAAAATTAAAGATACTGCATTGCCATTTAGCAAGAGACAGTGAGAGCGGAACAGTGAGTGAGGAAACACCAGCTGTAGCTCCCTCCCTCCCTCCCACCCTTAGCCCTTGCTCCTACACACACAGTGATTAATTCTCTTTATGTTTTTTGACCTTATGATAATTATTTCATAATTTTTTTGGCACATACTGTGTGTGGTGCACATTTAAACTGAAATAGGCCTAACCAGCCAAGTCAGCAGGTGCACTATTGACAGGTAGGCACTAGGCAGCTACCAAACAGGGATTGATTTTACCGCTTACAGCGGCTACTTTATTGTGCACCCCACACTCATCCTGTGAGCGATAGTGCAAAAGGATTACAGAGTAGAGTTTACAACGGGTCATAATAATTAACCCCCATTGTCAGGATATTATGGCACTGAATGTAACACAGTATTTCAATTATATTATTTGTTTAGTTCTTTACATAAAGGGTAACTTATTCACAAAAGTACAGGCGTGTGAGGCAGTATGTCTGGCCGCACACTTTGTTATTCACATTTGCGTGAGAAGTATTCAAGCACATTGTGTATTTGGTTCTATACATGAGAACTGATATAGTTACTAAGTGCAAAAAAGTGGATATAATCTTAATATGTCGGCTATCTTGCCATTAGAGATGAAGTGTTGTGCCATTTCACACACAGTGTGCTTGGACCTGTCCCTAAAAGGTTCTATCTTCACACAGTCAAGGACATAGTGTTCAAGTGTGTGGCTATATGTCTGGCCACACACTTTACATCTAGTCTTGTTTACATCTGCTTGAGGAACATGCTTCCAGAGGTACTTATATCCTAACCTTAATCTAGCGGTTACAACATCTTGTAATCTAGTGATCTTGTTACTTGCTCCATATACATGTTTCACTTGATACATCTCATCATGGTAAACTATGGATCAACTAATGCCTGTTTGCACTTGTCTACTTGCGTCAAATTCATCAATAAGTTCTTTCCTAATTACAGTTTTAAGGGTTCTTTTTGACAGACCCAAATTGCATTCAACAGTGTCTTTGTTAGACGCGAGTTTGGCGAGGGCATCAACTGTCATGTTTTATGAGGCCTATGTGAGAGGGGATCCACAAACAGGGAGGTACTACCACCTGGGAAGGTATTGGAAGCATAATGTGTTGTCTAATGGTAGACCCTGCTGCCATATGGCATCACAAAAATTGTGACCAAGTCCCAGTTTGCTGATCTGACTTTCTGCCTCATTTACACACAATTGCAGGGTCTCAATTGTTTCTTTTACTATTGACAACACAACATACAGTGCATATATTGTTTCTTATTCTTGATCTTTTTTTTCATTTTTGTATTTATTTATTAATATTATTATTGTCGTTATTATTTCATTACAGTATTTCAATATTTTTATTTTATTTTTTATTGTGAATTATTATTCTTGTTATTATTATTATTAAATTTTTGGCCCCCAGGCCCAGATGTGGGTCAGTGACCTGTGCCCGGGTGAATCAAGGGATTTTCAGAGGTAATTTTCACTTTAGTACACATTTTTGGCTTTATGCGCCCTCTATGGAACATAACCCCCGCTTTAGATGCAACAAGACTGTAATTCATCAAACCCTTCACACAAATTAAAAAGAATAATATTTTACTTTTTTCATTCTTGCTAGCCTTCTACTATTATACTGCAGAGTGGCTGGAATCAACAGCAAACACAGATGATCTCTTCATTTGTTGTCATCCATTCTCTACAATTGCTGTGACATCCCCATCAACCACACAACACCATGCTCTCTTATCATTACTAAACACTGCTGTTACCTCATGTCCATCTACCTCACTTCTAACACTTTCTTGATCTCATCCTTTCACATCCTACTTTGTCTTCCCCTCTCCTCTAACACCTTCATATGAATACAGTAGAGGTATTAGACTTTTTACCCATCTTTCCCTTTCTATTTTCTAAAAATGCCCATACCACCTTAGCAACCCTTGGTCAGCTTTTGTCTGACATATAATTTCAAACTGGATTCAACATCTCATCTGTTTCAAATTAGGATCACCAGTCTGTCCACTCAAAATAGATTTAAAAGCACTGAAAAGAACTTAAAAGGTTGTTCTAAGTTTACTATGTCCTCATTTTTTACTCTAGTAGTCTAGGGGATTATATTTTTCATAATTTTTATAATAAAACTTCTTCTATCTAAAATTCTATAATCCAGAATGCTCTAGCAGAATGGTCAGAGGAACCTTTGAAAAAATTAAACATTGGGCAGAAGTCAAGGTTTCAAGTCGCCTCAGTTGTTGTGGTAGTTGTCACTATCTTGCATGAAGTTTCTGCCTTCTGCTTTAATCTTAATGTACCTAGGACAAGATTTTATGGATGCATTCTTAAATTTATTAAAAAATATTCTGCACAATACATGAAAATATTTCCAGCAAAGCAAAAACTTCACTGCAAGTAGGAGCATCTGTCTTCTGAAGCCAGGGTAGATAGGCACCAGCTGCTAATCTGATATGAGCTAATGACAGATGCCAATGGTATTTTTCATTATACATTATTCCTGAACTAGTACTTCATATGTGTCAGAGGAAAATGCCTAATATCACAGTCTCCATGGGGTGTGCTCTGGAGACCAGGAACTGTTAAAAGTACAAAGCAAGGGTGAAACTCCAGAATGATTTTGACCCAAAGTACTCTACCTGAAACATTGCTGGCCCTCAAAACAACCATAGTCTGCTTGGGCAGAGTTTCCAGCCATTAAACCTGTCAAGAGCCTTCTCCAAATGACAGGCTCTGCCAGTGGATGTTTAGTGGTACAGTACATACTTCACCAGACACTTGATGGTGAGTCATAGACTATAAAATGTACATCTAACACCACCTGGAGTAAACCAGACTTAATGTCTCAACACATACCTCAGCATGTTGGCCAGGATTCAACCGCTTGCCACATTCTTCACAACGCAAGCATTTTGGATGCCAGTCAAATCCTAGTGACTGTTTTCTCTCAGCTGCAACAGAAGAATATAATAAACAAAAAATTCAAAGGATGATTGCTGCTTGAAACCATTTATGTCAAACAAATGCCTTACAAAAATGAAATGCTGTAATAAGCCAAGTTATCAACACGGCACAAATTAGTCTCCTGATAATCTCGGTCCGAATCGTAGTGCAGAAGAAGCTCCTCTCTTAACTCAGGGAACACCACCACAAGACAACATGCATAAATTATTGTTTATAAGTAAAACTGACGGCTAATTTTCACAAAACTCATAAATATACTAACAGGAAAACACAAAATTATGTTGTTACTTTCCACAAACAGTACTGTACTGTATAAATAATGGCATTTTATAAAATACTGTATATCATAACTAAAATTTACCAAATCAGTACAGTAAATATCTAAAATCTCAGCCATGGAAACAGTTATGATGTTTGATGATCCAAACATTAGATTATGTGAAAGATAGAAAGGAACAAAGGACATGATGGAGCTAGAGACAGGATGTGAGATTTGATCACTGATGAGGATGAAATTTTTAAGACTACCGGGTATTTTTTTGTAATGAGATACGGAGAGTGATGACGTATCCCACCAAATGTGAGAGAATAATAATCCACTAGTAAGTAAACATTTGTAGTTCTTTTACAGGTAGAAAAATATATAAAATAAATAAATATAGAAAAAATAAATAAATAAATAAAAAACATTTCAAATAAATTTGGAGATGTACCATAGTTATAGTTAGTCTGGCCTTGTAAATCCCCAAAAATATGTTCTGTACTCGTAATAGTAAGTGTTATTAAAGAAAAATAATGACTAAAAAGGATTTGTGCTTGCTAGATCATCAGTGCTTAGCTTTGGGGGGCATTAAATATTAGGGATGTTCCGAATAATCGGTACTGGTTTCAGCAAGCAGACAGTATCAGAATTTTACCGATTAATTGGTATCGATATCGCTAAGGTTATTATCGGCTGATACTAATACTGGTACTGTACATACAGTATTTGCTATGTAAGTCAGGGGGGAAAATAAGAATTATTCTGACCATGCTAAACTAAACTCCAAATTTAGCAAAAATACAATACAGTTCTAACATATACAGCAGCATATTCTTGCAATCCTGTTTGGACCAATCTGGACTGGTCCAACTTAGTCTTTTGGACTAGTCTACACAGGCCAACCATATATTTACAATAACAAATTCTGCAGTGAGGATAGTTAGCCTTCTCGTCCTATAAGACCAGATTAGAGTAAAAGATTACACTTCAGACTGGAATAAGTATATAAGGAGTATTGGTATCAGCCAATTAATCGGTATCGGTAAAAAATGGGTATCGGTGCATCCCTATTAAATATTACAAGTTAATTGTCTCTCTGTTTGCAATGACTGTGAAATCAAGAATAAAGAATGGGAGTGTAATGATGTGTAGGTAGTCGTCAGGGCATGGCAGAGGCGTAAGTTATGGGTCTTATATAATTTGATGCCCACTTGGATACTACTGATAATTCCCTAATAGGACCCAGTTTTAACTATAAATGAAGACTGAGCCCAAAGCTTAGGGTGCCCATAAGTTTAGAGCCCTTTTAGGACATGGAACACAATGGTACCATGATCTAGTAAAGATAAAATTTCATGAAAGTTAAGTGATACCCCCTAATCACTATAAGCCACTATGTTTGTGGCCCATTAGGACTTGGCTGCACATCACAACCCAGTCAAGGAAAATTTTACTTTATGTACAGTACTTCATGCCCCAGGAAGCCATCCCCTCACCTTCTACACCCCCCTCCTTTCCCTCCTCAGTTTGGTCTTACAGGGCTTTATTGGACAGTACAGTGTTAAGTGCTTTGCTCATGTTAAAATGTGACATTGCTCAAAGATAGTTTCTTTTAATTTGCTAATGTTGATGCTACTCTGCTGGAAGTAGTTCTTTGACATGAATTTGCAGTAAACAAAGACTACTTTTACAAGTAACATATCACTTTAATTTTTAATGGAGACTTTGAAGAGATAAAAGGAACTGATTATTGAAAACACAGCCCATAAAAAAAACAGAATTGCTTTATTTTCTTCCTTAAAGACTTAAAATTAAATGACAAAATATTTTTTAGTCATAAAATATCTAATGGAAAAGAAATCTTATTAAATATTAGAAATTCTACTTGAGAGAAACTGTGATGAGCAGCACTTAAGGTGGTGATGTAGCTTGACCCTTCCTGTACAGTACCATCTGTCACCCAAGATGGCTATAAATCTTTTATTACCTACTGTATGTCATAATAGATCACAGACTGAGGAACAGCCTAACTTACATAATGGTCACCCACACTAAAAGTGGCTATAAAGTAAATTCAGAGTAGTTTTTCCCTAATACATTACAGACTTGCATTCACTGTATTAAAACAAATGTTCTAATGAGAATGCCAAAAATAACAAACATGGTAAAGACAGAGGAGACAGTTAGCACCAGAAGGACTTAATGGAATTGCACCAAATTTTCAGATGTTGTTGTTTGGATAATATGGAGTAATTAAATAGAAGCAACAACATTGCAGTATTTTGTTTTCTATTTTGCTTATCCTTCGACGATAAAATTACTTGTTAGTCATCAGGGCATGAAAGAAGAGGGAAATAACGAGGTAAAAACACTGCAAACTCCGATCATAAAGCATTAAGTTCACATCTACATCCTTTATAGGTGAAAAAATAAAATATTTACCATAATTATGGCGCCATCAGAACTCCTGAGCTGACCAGGTTTTGATTTACATTGTCTGCTATGTGGGGACATCCACGGTCTTTGCTTACATATTAAGAAATGATGGACAATCTCATCACCCGTGTTTATTACGATTTATATTGGATTGAATTCGTTTATTTTTTCTAGAGATGTCGTTTGGATGACATTAAGGAAGAAAATCGAAATGACAGTGCACAGTTAAGGATGTTAGGTACCATGGGTTAGGTTCTAATAAGTTCTGTGAATTCTTGTTTCCATTTTCGTGTTCAGTATTATGCAAATAGTAGCTGTCGGTATAATTGCAGTTTCGACCAATACACGGCCGACTGTTTTAACCATCCCCAACCTTTAGATCCCCATATTTCTAACCCCATTTCAACCAGGAGGAAAAGAATAACATCAGAAATAAATTTTAAGGTTTTTACATATTCTTTGGGGTTACAACTCTAAAACGGATACTTTCCCCAGAAATAAAGGTCAAATTCGATTAAATCACACCAAAATACACAGGATAAACTAATTTCTAAACAACTAGAGCACAATGGCAGAAACTACAAATTATTATTTTTTCTATAATCCAATAATCAATTTATATTAAGTAACCCCACAATATTAAGGATAAGCAACAACGTTTCAATATTACCTACAGACTTCTTTGGAACAGATTAATCTAAGGATATATCCCAAATAAATTAAATTAACTCTTAATAAGTTAAATATAATACCCGTTGACCTAACAAGGGTGTCACCTCCAACCACCTGTTCTCCTCCTCCACTCACCGAAGTAGACTGGTCGGCCACACTTCCTACACTGCCACATCTTGGTATTTTATCACCCGGTGGCCCTCAGCATAGTCTATACCCTTCACCATAGACCATTAAAGGAACATCTATATCTATATAAACATTACTAATAGGGACGGCCCATAATAGGGACGGTCCATGTATCCGGGTTCAGTAAGTTATTAATATAATGTTATTTTATTGATCTATAATCTATCATAAAATTTTCTATATTTTGATTGTAATATTTTTTCTCATAATTTAATACATTTGATGATTATTATTTTTTTTTATAATGATATATAGGAATAAAAGTTGGATTATGTAACCTGGAAAAGCAATGAAAATAGTCTATAAGGAGCGTTCGTGGAGTGAAGACGGATGATGGTCAATGTTAAAAGGCTAATAAGAACACGAGTAAAAACCATTTTTTCAGGTACCAAGAATATTACTCAACCGCATGTCACATTTTCGTTAGATTGGATTTATTTTTGTCTTTTTATAATAAGAATATAAACAAATAGAATTGATAATTAAATGGTATAGAAATTCCGATCGTGGTACTTCCCAACATTGACAGGCATGGAACTAGCACTCGTAGGCTTGTCTAAAGGTACAACTTGCCAGGTGTTAACATTAAAGGGTTTTCTATTCTAGAGCTTATCCGTACATGCGCTATAATAACCTTGGCCTTCTGATATTAGAAAAAGTAGCTTTATGGGTATCAATATATTTTTTTTATTTGATAGCTCTATCACTTAATTATGCCGACATGAACTCCCAAAGAGAGCAGACCCAGGTTTGATCCCTGGCCAGTGTTAATCTATGGGCAAGTATCTTTACGGCATTTGCCTCTGTGTATCCAGCAGTAATTGGGAACCTGGATGTTAATCGAATTGCGGATTGTGTTCCGGGGTAATGGTTATCTAGTGCAGTTGGCGAGTTGTCCGGTCTTCCCGGGCTTTTCCTTGACACTGGGTCATGCAGCTCGTTAACTCTGGGTGTGGTTGTTGTGTTGGCGACAGCTTCTACACCTTAAACAAATTCACGCCTAGGTGGCCCTTGGGCCAGCCATCCTCCTTCGACCGATCACAAGAGGAAACTGGAAAACCCGGAGCTGCCACGTTTGATAGGGTCACATTAGCCAACATACTTCGCACATCAGACCCAGTGCCGGATTTAGACCTGAGAAGGCCCATGGGCAGCCTCTTTGTGGAGGCCCCCCTCATTATAACTAAACATCTGGGAGTTCCGGGGGGTGCTGTAAGCCCCCCCGGGAAAATTTTGAAATTTGAACACTTCTTTGGAGAATTTTGAAGCCATATGCAGTTATATTGAGGAAATTAGAACATTGAGAAATTTTTAATTAGCTGTATATTTATTGATAGTGTACAAATTCCCAACACACACACACACACAAAAGTGAGACATGACTGGAGTCATTCATGTGGTTTCAAGTCGACCAGCCCTGATATAGCTACTACCGCACATGTAAAAAAATATCAAGAGACTTCACAGAAAAGAATATATTTTTAGTTATTACAGAGAGAGGATTCTTTGCATTATTAATCAGATAAACCTCTACTCAAATAATGGTTCTGTCCAAGTAGCTAGCCTAATTTCTATCACGCTTCTTGCTGAACATAGTTTTACGTGATGGAATAGATAAACATGAATTTTAAGGAATGAAAATAAAAATAATCCAAATGAATAAACAAATAAATAAAATATTGTAATATGTGGAGGCCTCCAGATTGTGGAGGCCCCTGGGCAGCTGCCCACTTTGCTCACTCCTGAATCCGGCCCTGATCAGATCCCGGGTCGAACCTGGGACGCATTCGTGAAAGGCAAGCGTAATGCTGTTGTAGTACACCACTCAGAGCCGTTCTAACGCATGGGCACGCTGGGCAGTTGCCCAGGATCCCACGATTTTAGGGGCCCCGTGAATAGAGCACGCCAAAACTAATTAATGACGAAGTCGATGATGCACCTAATGAAGTACATGAGGTTGCTGGCCTGTCGTAGTCCGTCACCGAATCTCAGAGGATAATTTAGATTTAAAACGTAGAAAATTCTAAGAACCTTGTATCCATTGGAAGAAAAATGGAAATTTTACTAAACCATTACAGAACAAATCACCATGCCGCCAACGTTTGTGTTGAATAATTCTTGCTTTACCAATTAATTATATGTTTAATTTTACTGAAAGTTTTAGTTTTCATTTGAGTGGGTGGGTGGGTAGGGGCCCCAGGACATTGCTTTGCCCAGGGCCTACAATGCTGTTAAGACGGCCCTGATACCATTGCTATGAAGTGTAGCTCTCCAACCTGGAATTACTATGGACATATAGACTGTAACTATTAAACACATTTCATGCTTCAAAATAAATATACAAGTGAATACTACCACAGAGTCCAAAATATGCCAGGTGATTTTATTCAGCTCAGAGGGGCCGCGTGCACAAGGGGTTAGTAGACTATCTCCTAAATACTCACCTACGGAATTAATAAAATGATGTTGTGTTGGAGGTCTTGCCTTATCAACAGCACCATCAGTTTTCTATTTCTACTCGGCCAACTCTTTTGTGCTAAGCTCTGTTTTTTCACAGGTTGTTGAAATCCCTTTTTTTTCCATAAGTTATTAGTTAGACAAGTAGCTTCAAACGATCATTTTTTTTTCCAATATGTGATTGATGGAACTTCACTACCTGGCCTCTTTCTTTTGTTAGTGAGAGCCACCAACGTATAAAATTATTAATTTCCTGTTTCTGTTGTGGATTTGCAGTCGATGTTTTCGTTGGTATATCTTTTTCTATTGAGTGATAGACAATTACTTCTTACTCTCTATAGTATTATTGATGATGATCTGTTGTCGTATATGAGTTCTTTGATAACCTTTATGTTCAAATTAATGTTTACGCTTGTTTTGTTTTTCAAGTTCTTCGTATCGCTTATCTGTTTTTCATTTCCTTGTGTCTTTCTTCCATTAGGTAAGTTAATCACCTATTGATATTTGGTCAATGTTTTTATCCTATTGTTTTAGTTCCCAATCGTCACTTTAGTTTATGTTCTCCCTATTATAACTAAGTCCTCACAGCGTAGTTAGTTATACTCGATCCTTTATATCGTATCTACTTCTTCCTCGATCACGGTAATTATGTTACACTATTCAGGGAGGGCCAGGGTCTTCCAATATACGTTCTCACAACACAATTGAATCATGACTTTGTGACAGCTTCATGCAGTGACGGAGAAAGTCTCTAGTAGAGGTGTTGAGGTTAAGAGACGACTGGGGAAGCACGAGGCATATCGAGTCAGGTGCCACAACTAAAAGAATATATTTCCAGGGGCGGATCCAAGAATACAAAAAGGGGGGGGTCCAAGAAGTTTTGGGTGGGGGAACATGGCGGGGGGATGCTGTGAGACCCCAAGACTTTTTTTTTTTAATCTGACCAATATCATGGGCATTTTGAGGCCATATTGAAGCCATGTGCAATTTATATTAGGAGATATTCTGAGGACAATAGTAATTACTTTGTATTTTACAAAAGCGCCGAGTACAATACTGCATTAATTTTTTTTTTAATTTTCTGATGAAAAGAGGGGTACGGACCCCCCCCCCTGCATTCGCCCTTGATTTCTGGCCATTTGTGGTAAAGTGTAAGTTAGTTTAAAGAGAATTACTGCTGAAATAGTGCCTTTGAACAAGACAATGCAGAAACAGACAAAATTCATAAATACAGCCACACAGTGTGACCGACCCTTGCCTCCCTAAGGTTAAACGGTTAGGTTAGGTAATTTTTTTTTTACGGGGATTAGCCCACCCGAGCACAGGTCACTGACCCACATCAGGGCCTGGGAAGAAAATTTAATAACAATAACAATAACAATAATAACAATAACAATAATAATAATAATAATAATAATAATAATAATAATAATAATAACAACAACAATAATAATAATAATAATAATAATAATAATAATAATAATAATAATAATAATTAAAATAATAACAATAATAATTCATAGTATATAAAACAATTAATAAAAAATACAACATTGGAAATAAATTATAAAATAATAATAATAATAATAATAATAATAATAATAATAATAATAATAATAATAATAATAATAATAATAATAATAATAATAATAATAATAACACTGTAATAATAATAATAAAAAAACAAATAAATACAAAAATTAAAAAGATCAAAAGTGAGGAACAATATTTGTATGTTATGTTGTGTTGTCAATAGTAAGAGAAACAATTGAGACCCTGCAATTGTGTGTAAATGAGGCAGAAAGTCAGATCAGCAACCTGGGACTTGGTCATAATTTTCGTGATGCCATATGACAGCAGGGTCTACCATTAGACAACACATTATGCTTCCAATACCTCCCCAGGCGGTAGTACCTCCCTATTTGATAGCTGCCTGCTACCTATTACATTCAGATACGTTGAATTAACATTAAATAAGCATTATTAAATGTAGTTAGATTTGATTATGAAATGTTAGGCCCAATTTGGGGTAAAAAACGGAAGGTAAATTAAACTAGCAATTAGTTGAAGAGCAAATTGTCTTAAATTTTGTTTTCTATTTTACCGATATTGTTATATTACAAGTTCCATAGAGATTTACATGTCATAAAATGGATGAAAGTGAAAGTGGGTCACATATGGATGACTGCCAGTTAGGGACAGTGTGGATACAGCACACTGAAGCCTTCGGTACACACGGAGGCAGCATGCACTCGACGCATTCACTTCTCCAAGTTGCAAACTTAAAGACACCCATTTACAGCTGGGTGAACAAGGCGCTCGGGAATCAACCACCGACCCCTGAAATAGGAGGCGAGCACTGCAGCACTGGACCGCCGCGCTCGTGATTATGTATATTTAATTAATATTTAACTGCTGTACGAGTGGAGGCGATTTGTTAACCTCTGTGCCTCTTCTAACAGCTGTTAAATCTTTCACAATACTGTACGTCTGTACTGCACTCTCGTCCTGAGTCCGTGTTTGCTCCATTTAAACCGGATTCATAAAGGTTTATATATTTTCAATTTTCCTTTAACTGAAGCAGTGGACAACACAACAATCTGACTCACTAAACCTATATCATAAAGATGGCGGCCAAAATGGCTTCAACA